GGGAACAAAATTGCAAGGTTTCAGAAGCTGCAGGAGCAGATGGGACAGCACACAAATCCAAACAATCCAGAACATAAATCCAAAAAAAAAAAAGCATATAAATGAACACACATTTGTGATGTATGAAGAATTGTTGCTGCGTTCACGGTTATATTACAGGAAAAACATTAAGTCGAGATTGTATGAATAGGAAAATAGTTTAAATGGCAAAAGTATTTGATAGGAACGTGCATGTGTGTTATATTTGTTTGTGTGTGTGTGTCCTGCTGTCTGACGGTAATATTAGGCAGAAGGCCAGTCATCTTGATCTCAGATCAAGGCTCGTTCACACAAACACACACACACACACACACACACACAGCAGACCTGACACTGATATATGACCTCCTGAAGAGATTACAGGTATTTAGCCCAGCTCAGATTATCAGTCTTAATTCACTCGGTCTGGTGTGTGAGTGCATGTGAATATGTGCACTGGATTACATTCATCTGATGTGCTTTATTGATCCTTCAGGGAGATTTTACAAACTGTTGACTAGCTAACATAGTTCAACATTCCCTTTCAGTGGCATGTACAATCATTGATAATATGAACTAATAATAGGTAAACTCTTCTGGGCAACTAACACAATGTCATAACCAGATACGCCAAGAATGGTAAAGGACATGGTTTCTTGCGTCACAACAAAATCTAAAGAAAGGAATAATAAAAGCCTATTTTTAGGTCCACAATATCAGTTTTAGACAATTCAATAATGTGTTCAAATTTAGTTCTTATTATTTGTACAGTATTTTTTACTGATTTTTTTTTATTGATCTAATGGGAATCATCATTATATAACATTCATTATCGTCTTTATCAAATGACTGTAGTACCATGATTTAAAAAAAAATAAAAATCAGTTTAAAGGCAATACAACAAATAATTTGATGTATAACTACATATAAACAGCAGTGTGCTTATTTTAAAAATAAAATGTGGTTAATTGTCATAAAAAGTCAAATGCCAATAAAGCTATATATATGCAGTATATACAGTATATAAATATATTAGGGGTGTAACGGTTCGCAAAATTCACGGTTCGGTTCGATACGACAGTGGTGTCACGGTTCGGTACGTTTTCGATAGGGGGAGGAGGGGTTGGGTAATTGCTTTCGTCGCAATGTTGGAAATATTTATGTTTTATACCATGAAGGCGAGCCAATGAATATCACTAGAAAGTGAAAGTAAAGGTGAAATGACGGAGTAATGACGGAGCTTTTCTTTATCTGACGCCACATATTCTCTCAGAGACGACGAGAGACGAATCTCCTTCAACATATGCTGATTACGGTATATAGCTAACTATTTGAATTTATTCCCTTAATATTTCTCTTGTGGCCCGTACATAGTAAAAAAAAAAAATGAATAAATGAGAAGAAACGTATTTGGTGTTAAACAGGCTGTTTTTGAAAGTCGGCACTTTAAATAGGCTAAATAAAGCATTTTATTTCATTGATTTTTATTGATGACTGCTGTCTTAATATTTTAATTATAGGCCTATAATTAATTGTATAATAGACCTGTTTTAAAAGACAGGCCTTATCGTTTGTTATCCTCGCAGCGTGTCAGTTATGCGGTAATATTGTGGGGCAAATTAATTGTAATTTGAATTTAATAATAAAATGTAATAATAAAAGTAACTTCGTATAATATTATATTTTATATATATATATAGAGAGAGAGAGAGAGTTTGTGTCTTTTTTGTGTTGGTCTCTCAGGAAGGAGTTTGTTCATGCGTATCTGCAGTATGTGTTCAGTGACTCTGTACAGGAGCAGTATTCGGCCTTCTCCAGCGGTTTCCTGAAGGTCTGTGGTGGGGAGATTCTCTCTCTCTTCCAGCCCTCTGAACTCATGGCCATGGTGGTGGGCAACAACAACTACAACTGGGAGGAGATGGAGAAGGTGGGACACGTTTCATACAGCTGTGCTTCACAATTTTATTTAGACTCTGCCTTGTGTTTTTCATGGCTTTGTGTCTCTTTTTTTTTCCCCCAGAATGCCTCCTACAAGGGCGAGTTCTCTGCATCCCACCCAACAGTTAAGATGTTTTGGGAGGTGTTTCATGAATTTCCCTTGGAGAAAAAGAAACAGTTTTTATGTAAGTGAGAGACAACAGTGTAATGGTTGGTACTATTGAATATGTTATATAAAACTGTCTGAATATAAAGCTTGCGCTAAGACCTGCTCAAACCAAAAGTGAAACAAAAATATAAAGCAAAACACAATTTTTTTTTTATTTATTGTGCTGAATGAAATTGAAATGTACACCAGAACTATATATTGTGCACCTCTGGTCTGCCATTCTCTATAAACTGCAGAGGGGAGTTTGAAGAAATCCAAACACTGCTTAAAGTTTGCAAACAACCATAAAACAACTTAGCTGCATTGATTTGCATTGATTCCATTAGTAGCAGCCGTGCAGAAGAGTTTACTATGGCTCTTCTAAACAAGATTGCTCATTTGGTGTTGGCTGTCAAAATAGATTTTGATTCATTAGCATCAGCTGTTGCTCTGTACTATGAAATGAGGCTTGGGACCCTAGAGCTTAATTTTTCGGTCAGTAAGGTTTTGGCCAGTGTTATTTTAGTATTATTTATATGCTGTTACAGTTTTATTAATATTTTGAATTTTATCATTATGTTTTAGTTTTCATTTAAATTTTAGTTTCATTTTTTAGCAATTTGATGTGCTTTTGTCATTTGTATTATTTTTTAATATAACTATTTAGATTTAATTAATTCTTAGTTTTAGCTCAGTTTATTTTAATTAATTTCCAGTAATTTTAGTGCTTCAAATGTATTTCAGTTAGTTGCAACATTTCTAATTTTTTTTTTGTTATATATATTTATATATAAAATATATAATTCAATGTTATTAATAGTTTTTGTTTCAGTTAACGATAACCTTGGTTTTGTCACCATATGAAGAAAAAAAAGTATTTGTTGAGGTATTTGTATTTGTTGATAAATTTTATAGGGCAATCAAAAAATTAAATGGCTATGTTAATGTAAACTGATAAATACATAACTTAATGTGTGGTCACATTTACCATTGCTAACAGCGAAAATCCAGTCATTTTAAAAGGAATCCGCACAATTGGGAATTTCACATAAGGGAGAAACATTCCCCCATTGCAGATTTTGCACCAACACCAGGTTTTTCACAGAATGCTGCTTGCTTTGATGTGCTGCAGGGTTGCCAGGTCTGCGAAACAAATCTAGCTCAACTGCTGTATAAAACTCAATCACAATCACATTTTGTTTGCGGTTTTCCCCTCTGTCGGAAATTTGACCCATTCCAGGGGGTGGGGATCGCTTTAACCTGCAGCAACAGTGTAAAAGTAGCCCAGTTCAGACTTGGCAACACTGATATTCTGTGTGAGTGGTGCTTTCCGCATCATTACACTATTGGACTATAAACCTTCTTTGCGCCAATGCAACTGCGCCTTTACAACGCAGACCAAATGAGTGTTTTTGTCTTCCCACAGTGTTTTTGACAGGCAGTGACCGCATCCCCATCCACGGCATGGCCAGTCTACGCATCGTCATCCAATCCACTGCTGCGGAAGAGCACTACCTTCCTGTGGCCCACACCTGCTATAACATGCTGGACATGCCCTGCTACCAGACCAAAGAGACCCTGCGGCACCGGCTCACGCAAGCCGTGGAGCAATACGAGGGCTTCAGTCTGGTCTGAGCAGGATCTACAGAGGTGGCTTTCTATATGCTGACACTGCACTTTAAACCTGTGGAGAAATGGAAACGAATGCTGCTTTCGCGTTTATTTTACCACAGATGAGCACATCCTGAATCTCTTATGAGTAAATATATTATTTTCTTATTTTTACAGACGGACTCTGACTTGCTAATTTGGTTGAATCTTGAGATGTGCAGTTTTTTTTTTTTTTTTTTGCTTCCTTTTTGGTTATAAAAATGTATATTTTTGAAATGACAAAAGTAAATAATAAGATTAGGATTGAGTTGGCAAAAAATAAATTCATTTGATTTTCTTTATATATTTTGTAAATGTTACTGTTTTTGAATCAGATTTTAAAACCGATGGGTTGCTCTTGCCTAGACCACGTTATTTTGTTAGGCATGTCCAAACCTGTTCCTGGAAGGCCACTGTCTAGCAGAGTTTAGCTCCAGCCGTAATTAAACACACCTGAGCCAGCTAATTTAGGTCTTCAGATCAAGTGTGTGTTGGAACAAAACTCAACTTTTCTCCAGGAGCAAGAGAGGACGCCCCTGTTATTTTGCTATTTTGAATTTCTGGAAGGAAGTAAAAAAAATTTGGAACAAATTTAATAGTTGAAGCATATGAAACGCCAATAAATCACTCATTATTGACTATAGCTGGGTGTTTAATCCCATTCAGAAAGAGCCATCGCAACCCTACAAATCGGGGGCTCGTCCGGGATGAAGACAGTAAAAGTAACACAGCCCCATCAGCACGGTATACCGGACAGACAGTTTCAGGCCCAATACATTTGGGATGTCCAATCCTGGTCCTGGAGGGCTAATGTCCCGCAGAGTTTAGCTCCACCTTGTCCCAACATACCTGCCTGGAAGATTCTAGTAATCCTGAAGACCTTGATTACCTTAATTCGGGTTTTCATTCAACTATGGTTGGGGTTAAACTCTACAGAACAGTGGCCTACCAGCAATGGGATTGGACACCTCTGCAATACATGAAAGGGATTTAACTTGATGAATAATCTCTTTTGTTTCTGAGCTTTCCAGTTCGGTCTGTGCTCAGATCAGATGTTACGCATTTTCACTCCTCCTGAATCCGTTCCACTGGTTTTCCTTTAATGTACAGTAGCAAGCCATTAGCATAAAAATGTCTCCTATTAATGATAGGCATGCATGAGCATGCCATGCCCAGGTTGAACGCTGAAGCTGCTTTTTTAAAATATTTTAATTAACTATGGGGAAAAAATCTGATATTTCTCTTAAAGTGACATCAGTTGAGATTTCATTGAGGAACAAATCCAGCAATAACTACTGGTTGATGTACGTGTACTAGTTATGGGATTTTAATTATGTTTTAATCCAACAAATGTGAATATTCTAACAGCTGTGTTCTTCTTCCGGTCAATCCATTGCCGCTTTCAATTTAATCCCTCCTGTTGTTTCACAGGAAGATCATATGCTGTAAAGGGGATTTTGTTTTCTACTCGCATTTTCTTTCTGAGTGGATCATTAATGTTGGGTTGTTATTAAAAATGGATCAGAGTGACTTAGCTTTGTGGTTTTCCGATATGGTGGATGATACAGGACTGTCAGGGACCACAGTGAGTTGTTTGCTGTGGCCTGTGGTGTTTTGCATCTAGCTGCATGAGATGTATTTGTTTGTACTTGATGGAAGGCCATATAAAGAAGTGTTTCTATCCAACTTATTCCTTTCTGTCAATGTATGCAAACAAAGGCTTCTTAATGGCTACTGATGCATTGTTATTTTAGTAACGTATATTTACTTTTATAGCTTTCAAATGGAATATATTGTTTTATCTATTTTTTTCCAGAACAATAAAATTATTTCACCTCAGATTAAGTATTATCAAACGTCATGGCATTTTCTTGCACTAAATGGCATCGAAATGAAAACCCAACACCAGTATATTCAGAAAAAATAGTTTGGTTTTATATCATATATACAAAATACAAATACAATCATGTACTAAAATGTACACACAGTATTCATCTTTATCCATCAGTCTTGTCATGTTCAGTAAAAACAAAGGTCACACTAAAATTTTCCAATCTGGAGAATAAGAGATAGGGGTGATGTGCTCGCTCTGTTTGTATCTGCGTTCACGAGGCATAAACGCTCAGTGAGGCCCCAGTTTTGTTTTCTATTGCTCGCTAACAATAGAGATGGTTTTGAGGATTCAATCCACCCACATCACTGTTAAACAGTGAGTTTCATTTGATGACCAGTAAGACACTAGAGTACAAAAAAACACTACAAAAAGAACAATGAAAGCTGGATTATAGTACCTTTGTTTGTACGTTTCTACATTAGAGAATGGCAGATTTCTTATGGTCGTTCATTTGCACATTTTTTTCTTTCGTAAAGAAAATAACCGAAGTAAATTCTAGCTTAGTCAATGGTCTTAGTGGTGTGGGGGGGATTTTCTCAGAAGCATTAATGTTCAAAATAAACAATTATGGCACCAGTAAATAATGAAAACTAATATACAGAGAGCCTTCCTTCCACAAATTGGTTACATTCTTCAATTCATCAAATACGACAAATTCCTATAATGATAAACTCTCCTCATCTCTATACACAGACAATTTAAGACGCATTATCTCAATGTTCTTCAAAGCTTATGTCTGATTGCGAAAACAGTTGTTTCTATATTACAGCAATATTAATGTAGAAAAAAATCTAAAATTTGAAACGAAATGTCGTATAATACAACATAACATAACAGAAATGTTCTTCTGGACTTCAATGGGAATTAAGATCAGAGATTCACAAGTAATCTGATTGTTTTCTGAAATCCAGTCTCATAGCAGATGCAAAAAAAGCAGTCCAAAGCAGAACACAAGTCCTTTTTGCTGTACAGTAGAACAAACAGCACTGTACATCTGCTAAAGGTGAACTAGGCATGTCTTGGCGTCCTTCAAAGCCAAATGTGCCTGTAATGAGTCAATAACAGAGGAACATGTCTTTGTACACATTATATTGCTTTGGATAGCAATGGCTGGTCCTTGTTTGGCTAGTAAAGTAAATCCCAGCTGAGCACTAGATGAACTTAGAAGAGTCTCTTTTACTGATGAGCACTTCCAACAGCCTTAGCTTGGCTTTAATGTGCTTGTATTCATTGTATTCTCCAGCCAAGGGTGAGCGATCTTCCTTTTGCACGTTTCTATGGGAACAGCAAAAGTAGAGCATTCAGTAACAAGATTTTGTTTCTCTCTGTAGAGACAGATTTAAGCTTATGAAAATGTACAATTCTAAGAACAAGCATGTACACCTTTTAAAATTCATATTGTGGAAGTTCTCGTTACCTGCCGTTCTGTTTGAAGAACTGATCCTCAAAATCACGGAGGTTTTTGCAGATTCTTTTCTTTTCTTCACGGGCTTCCTGGAGTTGCTCCACGAGTTCCTGCCTGTGTGTTTGGTTAAGAAGGAGTGGAGAGTTTTGAGATTCTTTCTACCCACCACAGCAACAATGCAATAATTTGAGGTTTCAGTGGTTGGCACATATTACTGAACATTTCGCTTTTTTAAACTTACAAATTACTTTTAGCCTATTATATAAATGGCCTTGTAGCTCCACAAAAGATGGATTATATGAATACAAGAAAAGTGAAAGATCTATAGGGGTGCTTACACACTAGAGTTGTAGGTCAGAGATCATCGCATATTCATTGGTTTCAAAGGGTACGAAAAGTGACGCTACATCGCACAACCAAAGGTTGAGAACATTTTACACCTTTAGTTTACCAGGGCTGTGTTTAAAAAAATCATCTTAAGCATAAATAGATTGTAGAAACCATTGGAACCAATGGTCTCTACGATCTACTTTGGTTTACGATGCTTGTGGGAAACAGCCCAGGTTAGTCTCTTTTTTGAGAGAGACCTGGTCATTAGAGATCTGGCATATTCCTACTTGATTTCTATCTATCTTCAAAATGGACCTCAAAACACGATCTTGTGTGTCAGCACCCTAAGACATAGGTTTCTCTTCTAAACCTTATACTTACATGGTAGCAGCATGCAAATTGGACAATCTCATGTCTGTGGTGTTCTTGGAGGGCGATAGTTCATCAACAGGTGAGATGAAACCATCTGTGTCCTCATCCAGCTGGTCGAGAAGTTCCAACATGGTCAGTTCCGGCTTAACCGTGACCGTGAACTGTGTCCTGGTATCACTGTCATCGTCCGAGCCGTCCTCCTCCTCCTGGAAAAAGAGCAGATGGCGATGGTTAGTTGGATTGCAGCTTAACGCTGAGAGTTTATACCAGCATGACTGAGCAGAATCAAGCATAACATTGATTTTGAAGGCAAATCTCATTGACATTTAGCAATCATTGTGCATCAAGCCTCTGTCGTGACAAGTGTTAGTACAAATGAAAAGAATCAGAGCTCCAGCAGTGCAGTAAATTATATTCATTCCAACTGGAGCATTTGGTGCACTGACTCACATGAGTTACCGATTTGAGTTTTTCTCTAATACAAAACCCAACAAGGGTGTGATCAAAAGGCAATGGAATCAGCAGGAGTCGAATCTCACAGCACTCCCATGCAGTTACTGATTCATGATTAAGTTAATGAGGAAACTAGTGGGGAGAAGGAGGTGGGTCAGCCGAATCACTGGTTGGTTGAGCAGTAGCAGCTCTTCACCTTGGTGTCGCTGAAGAATAGGGCTGGTACACCCTCGATAATGGGCTGCAGCAGGGGGCCTCTGCGCTTGCTGGAAGGCGAGCCCTGTGGTGGTGTTAATAGTGACATTACAACCCAATAAACTACACATCAGCCCACTCAGGGCAGGACTCAATAATGGACTATAAGGGACCAGGGACCTATGTTTTAGGGCAGTAGTTCCCAATCCTGGTCCTGAAGAACCCCCAACATTGCAAGTTTTTGATGTCTCTCTTATCTGAAAAACACATTTGAGGTCTTGGAGTCTTTACTAATGAGCTGATGAGTTGAATCAGGTGTGTTTGAATAGAAGACATCTAATATGTGCAGTGTTGATGGTCCTCCGGGATTGGGAACCACTGTTTTAGGGCATATGGCTCTGCTAAATTGAGAACCCATGGTTTAAAAACTGATGCTAACCAAATATTTCACTGGAGCAGCATATCATTAACTAAAAAATGGAGGAGCTACAGCTAATTTACGAGTGCTTGGATGTTTTTGTTGTATTTCACATGCATATCATACTGTATTGAGCAGGGGGAAATATTATATCAGCGGTGTGGGAATATGACCAGAGTGGCTGTTTAATGCTTTGGAGGACTTTTAGGAGTATGTGTGTAACAGACTTAGGAATTATAAGGAATACTGTTGCAAATATCCATTTACAGGATATGACCTCAGTGAGCTACTCTTGAGCTCTTGCTAAAGACAGGCTTAGTGATGCTAACGAGCCCCGGCACTGCCACCGCATCAATACTACAGCTAAATGCTTATATTGTGCTACTGCTAATGCTATTTCCTCTACTAATACCATGGAGATTTATCCATACGGTTTTGTTCAAGAATAAAGTAGAAATGGCAGCTAGCTAGACTTTAATACAATAACACTAGCTTATGCATCAGATAAGTATTAGCTTTTTTCCCAAAACTTAGAGAGCTGCCTCACTGCCAACTGCCTGCATGGGCAGCAACTCTGTCATGGAACTCTCAAGTGACTGATTTGGATCCAGATCCAACTTCTCCCACCTTACATATACCTAAACCTACCATCTCCACCCCCTAAATGTGGATCCAACCCCACCGCCTGGATCTTTGTTCTGTAGTGAGGGGCTACTGTAAATATGGCCAAAGTGATTTAACTTTGAAGGCAGAATAATAAAGTTGCCTATCTTTTGCAACAGCCTTCAACATTGGGAGTGCATGTAGCTCACTAGGTTTTGGAACACAGGAATTGGAACTGTAAACCAGGGGAGTTCAGTCCTGCTCCTTGAGGGCCTGCAGAATTTTGCTCCAAACTATCCCAAAACAACTACCTGGAAGTTTTCTAGTAATCACGAAGACCTGGCTGGTTCAAGGTGTTTGAGATTAGGACTAGAACTAAACTCTGAAGGACAGTGGCCCTCCAGAAGCAGGATTGGACACTCCTGCTGTACATGAACTCCTACTTGAACGATTTCTCCAGCAAATGGAGAAACTGAAATGGGACACAAGGATACAATGGAGAGGGAAGGCAAGAAAAATATTGGAAAAACTGAACTTACAATGACTGGAATGGCAGATGCTCTGCAGAGAATCTGTTTGATGAGTCGGTACCGGTCGTATAGAGGCTTCATGGCCTGCCTCTCGTTCTTGGTGATCTAGGAAGTGTGACAAAAAGACATTGAAATCAACTTCAACATATGTAGACAATAAGTTCTTAACCTTAAGAAGGTGAACTTATTGCACTTTTTTGAAGAATTGCATACTCACTGGCCTCCCGTGGATGCTCTCATAATATAAAAGAGTTTTCTGAAGGGCCACTTTTTCTGCTCCTATCTGCTCACGGGTCATGTCCTAAAGAAGAACAAAGGATGAAATTTTAAAGATTCATGCATTTGTTTATAATAAAAAAGGTCAAATGGGAAACAAAATCCTTTGAAATCGCACCTTAATGTCTTCAGGTCGGCCAGCCTCCTTGCGTTTCTCCTGCAGATTGTTCATAACTGCTTCTAGCGTGCACTCCACAGGGGGTTTGGGGGCTTTGGTCTCAGTGGGTTTCTTCTCCAGCTGAGATCCAAAGCTCTTGGGAAGAGTGTTGCTGCGCTGGCGGGGGATGGGCGTCAAATCCTCTTCTGACTTAAGCAACTTGTGATCTGTGAAGTGAAGCCACTTGTTTACAAGAACTTTGCAAGCCATGAGCAGAGCAGATTAGATCAGGGATTGTTTTCCTGGTAGGCCCAACCCACAAAGGTTAGTGAGAAATGACACCAGAGACATTTTGTTTGAACAAAATATTATGAAGGTTGGATTGGCGTAGCTTATGTGATAAAAATCACTTTAAAAACGGTAACTTGCTCTTGCAAGAGGAATTTCATTCATACCTTTTGAGTCTTTGCGCATCTTGGCCAGTTCATTCATCCACCGCAGAACCTCTGGATTGGCGGCTTTGTCGCCGTGTGAAGGCTGTAGAGAAAACGTTAAACTCAGTATCTGTAGCAAATCCAGCTAAATACATTTTGCATTGGTCTTTTCATCATGGAAATGGTGCATGTATAGTATTCTGAGAATCTGTTTTCAGAGTAGACTGCTTCATTGATTGCAATGGGTTTATCAGTGTAGTCATTGTAGGTTGTTTAGTCCTCGCAACAGATTTGATGCACTCACCCTGTATTTGCGCTCCTCTTCAAACTTCTCCTCAAACCTCCTGATCTTCTTCTTGAGTACATGGATCCGCTTTGAAAGCTGGGCTGAAGTGAGCTCTTCCCGGTCATCGTCGCAGGAGCCTAACGATGAGCTTCTTCGCCTACTGAATGGAGAACATTGTTAATTTCACCCTCCAAAAAACATACATTATTTAATCTTCCAGACCATTTGTTGTTTTACCTGACAAACGAGTGGGCATTTGGTGGAGATGGAGGAACCTCAGTGTCATCCAGATACTGCTGACTGTCTCCATAAGCGTAGAACCGCGGCGAGACCATTGGGTCGCTGTCCTCCTCCAGGAGCTGGCGAATCAGCTTGCCACCGGCATGGGGTGACAGATGAGCCTCCTCGCGCTCCATACTCTCCTTTTGCCAAGACGAGTAGGCCGGGACTGGTTCTGTCAACAGACAAACATGCATGTGTTAATATGGAGGGAAACAACAAAGCAGCGTGTCTAGATTTTAACAAGTCATCAAGTAAGTAGCAAGCAAAACAGAGAAGTGGCAACAGGACATCCACAAGGCAGATTTAGTCTTTGTTGATACACAGTCATTGCCAAAGTTTGGGTGCACATTAAATTTTAACTTGGCTGATACTCTATTGACCTTGATGCTATTTCTGGCATCCTGAGGTCAACTGTTATAGCCGAAACCCCAAAATGTGTGCAATTCAGCTCAGTAGACTGTTGTTTTTACACAATACATGTGTACTTTTCATTGTAGACTATTAAATGAAACTGTGACAAAGTGTTCTTAAGTTTCATGCACTACAGTTTATAACTCAAACATAGCGAGTACATGCTGTAATACCTGAAAGTTTTGTTTACTTACTATGCAGATGTCGTGACCGTATAATAAGGTCAGAACAATTTAATGATGCATCCAGAAGAATGTTGTGATAAATGCTGACTGCAAAGTGACCTGTGGAACTGGCATGCATGAAGGATCAAACTTGATCTTATCTGTTGTTATAAAGTTGATATCGCCATATTTACAGCATTGAAGTGCAAGTAAAACCTTCAGAGTGTTCGCATAAGGCACCATTTATTAGGACAAACAGTAAAACAATGTGTTTGTGCCTGTGTTTGGTACTATAATTTTTACTATCTAAAAGTCCATTAAACTGCACGTCAACAGTTTATGGGACTTTTTCTGAAGAAAAGAATGTAGTTCGCCTGTGGAAAAACTTGCTACTACAATGCTGGGGTGGTTGCCAGGGCATTTTTAAGTGCATTTGCAAAGGTAATGTGAGCAGTTGCCAGTTTCTATATAGTTGCTAATGTGTTGTAGGTGATTGCTAAGGTGTTAATGTGTCGTTTCAAAAGTGTTCAGAGTGTTTTCTGGTACATTGCTATGCAGTCATTATCGTTATCAATGTTTTATACTTAAATATTAGCAGTGATGACAGAGATGCATGACTTTGCAGTCAGAGGACTTCATTTCAGTGCATGCATACTCACTCAAGCACAACTGCTCCACATGCTTTTCAAAATGCTGTGCAAACAATCTGGTGGAGCCTGAATTTCCACAGCCTCTTTGCACTTTTTGTACCGTGTCATGTGCTTGTTACAGTCATGCTTGAGAAGCTAATGTGTCAGGTGGACCTCTCCCTAGTGGGGCATTTGGAGCCATTTTGTTGAGCCGGCATAATACATCCAAGCATGTGGTACAAGATGGCCTTTCCCTAAAAGACTCACAAAAAGTCTCAGTAGGCCATTGCGAACATAAATAAAGGCACATATTACTGTGCCTGCAGGTTGTTATATGCTAGGTGGGTACATATGCTTGAGAAGCTAATGTGTCAGGTGGACCTCTCCCTAGTGGGGCATTTGGAGCCATTTTGTTGAGCCGGCATAATACATCCAAGCATGTGGTACAAGATGGCCTTTCACTAAAAGACTCACAAAAAGTCTCAGTAGGCCGTTGCGAACATAAATAAAGGCACATATTACTGTGCCTGCAGGTTGTTATATGCTATGTGGGTACATGCCAGTTTGGGGTGTTTTATGGGATTTCCATGCAGCGTTTAAAGGTCACTGGTGAGAGATGGGGATCAGCCCTTACCCTCATTGTGACTTGATTTTAAAAGGCTTTTAAAGTCAAGGAAAGGGGCACAAAAGAAGTGAGAATCTGAAAGATAAAAGTAAAGAGAGGCAATTGAAATAACGGCCCAAGGAAAAGTTTTTACCATATACTGTATAAAAACATGGACGTGGTGTCCGTGACCGTGACGTCACCCGTAGGTTTCCGAAGAGCGTTTTTGAAGCCTAAAGTAGGCGGAGCCGGCCGTCGCCATCTTGGCAGCATGTCACCGCGCGTCACTCCCGTATAATCGAAAATGGGCAAAGAGGCGGGAGCTGTTTGCTGAAACCACGCCCACCTAGCTCGACGGTGGTGACAGCAGCGGCAATCCACCTGTCACTCAAGTGGCCACGACCTTAATTATGCAGAACTTTAAGGCTTAATATAATTTAAATGGATGAGTTATAAAAAAAATCTCCCTCCCCCTCACAGTTGTCACGAAGGGCAAAATTAGCTATATAGACCAAAACCACTTTTTGTACCAGGCTGTAAACACATTTTTTTCTGCTGTAAAGTTGGGCAGGAGTCAGGCAGAAATGCAGCGAGTGATATATAAGATTGTGGAAATCCCAGCTGACAGGCATATGGGCAAACCGCTGTCTCTTGGCACCGCAGTGGGTCACCGCAATGTGCTTTGGCACCGGCCATAGTGGGACAAAGGTCTGGCAGCTCAACATTACATACTGTCCTGAACTCTCATTTGACCTCTCCCATAAGCTGGAGCAACAGCTTGTTTTTAGTGCAACTGTATTTTACAGTCGTGTGAGCTCATTTTTCGCAACCATATGCTTCCAAAGATGTTAACAAAACTATTTAGCTTGTATAATCATTTATACATTCATCTGATTTTGTTCCACTTAGCATAATAAACTTAACTGCTACAATTTGTAGAATAGAACTATGTACACTAACATTTACAAAGCCTTTGCTTTAAAGCTTTTATTTGTATAAAGCTTTCTACCACACACAAAGCTGACATATTTCATCATGATATCTGTGATTAAGCATGATTAAGCAGCATAACAAACATAATTGCTAATTGACTGCCTCCAAAATAAGTCAATTTATTTATGCGAAGGTGCTTTTCACAATAAATATTGTCCCAAAGCTGATCCTTTTCATCGTGTTATCTGTAATTAAGCTGTTCCACTAAGCATAACAAACATAATTGCTAGGATTTGCGCAAAACTATTCAAATGACTGATTTGTGTAGCTCTTTTCAAAATAAATACTGTTCCTTTTACATCATGTTCGTCTTAAGTTGTTCCATTTAGCATAACAAACTAAATCACTAGGATATGCAGCATAAAACTAGAAAAATGCACCCCAAAATGAGGCAGGTTATTTATTTGTAAAGTGCTTTTCATGATAAATATCGTCCCAAAACTCACAATTTTCATCATGTTATCTGCGACTACATAGCATACCAAACTTTATTGCAAAGATCTGTGTATAACTATGAAAATGCACACTGGACAGCCTTAAAATGACTCAATTCAAAATCAGAATTCTGTTTATTTACTAGTATAGCACGTTTCACTATACATATTTTCACATATTCCAAAACTACCTAAATTGCCTTGGAAAAAAAACAAAAAAACATGCAGAAACCCTTCGAAATGGTTTCTGTCTAAACATAAGACAACAAAACAGCGCTTAGAGGAAATATCTCACGTCGCACTCCCAGGAATGTCTCTGGGAATGACTTTGCAAAACCACAGGGCAATGTTTTGACCATCTTAAGAGTAACTGTCAAGCAAGATATGTCATTATGTACGCAGCTGTTTAAAGCTCTCAGTAGAGGGTGCCATAGAACAAGTCCATGATACAGTATAGAGATTCTGCCAAGGCTGGGACCACAATATTAAGCACTATATTAAAGTAAAGGGTAATTGTGAATCAACATGGCAACCCTCTCAGCAGGGCAGCTCCATATGCTATGCGCGATTCACTGTCTTGTGTGTCTCCGTGCCAGACCTCAAACATTGACCGTACACTACAAAATTTCCAAGGTCATGGCGAAAAGGGGTGTGTTTGTGCATGTTTGTGCAAGTCTACAACTGGCACATGCTGCACGAACTGAAGAGGAAACAGGAAGGGAGACTATTGTGCATAGCCATGACAGGTTTTAAAGGCTCAGACGTGACGTGCACATAGCAACAGCTCCCAGACTCCTGGATTTAAACCTCCTCCTGTTTCACTTCTCAGTTGCTATGACTATAAGGCCCTCCACTTGTAGAGCTAAACGTCTGTTTGTTTCTAACCCCAATACTGAAGATGACAAATGCTGTGAATCCTAAGCTTGGCTGAAATGCAGCAGTTGTGAAAATGCATCAAATCACTGAACAAAACCCATTTTATTGTGATGCATCTGCTCAGCGAAGTTCATTTAGATTCTGTGTACTGCTTGCATAAAACATGGTTTTAAACACAGCAAAATAGTCATTTTAAAACAGATAAGCAAAATGAATAAACAAAAAGTGCTGTATGTATGTATGTATATATGTGTTTATTTTTTCGGTGTTAACTCGCACACATCAGACATGGCACCCATATATATATATATATATATATATATATATATATATTAATAAACAATAAAGTGCTATAATCTACATTTCTAAAATATTTTATACATTAAAATTAAATACTATAATAACTTATTTATTATTTAACTATCTTAGAGTATGATGAATGAATAAAAAAGTG